GACCAAAGTTGATGGGAATTTTATATTATGACAATGGTACAAATGCATGTTCCATTTGTTGTACTGTGCAGTTGCATTTGAATTAAATTTGATTCCTAAAGGACACACTGTGCTCTGTATATCTAGAAGCATTTACAGGTAAGGGGCATGTTAACCTGGATTAGAACATGTAGTAAACTAAGATTTGACTTGTGTTCCCTTTAAACAGCTACCAACTTTCTTGCTTTTCCATGGCCTCATTTTTTCCATGGTCAGTCAAATTATATTACAATTCTTTATCAGAAAACACCTTGAAGAGAAAACACATGTAAAAATATGGGTCTGTATTGATTTGTGAGCTTTTTTCCCTTCCCTGCATGGAATTTTGTTCATATTTTTGTGTGTGCTTTTCAGTTGTGTGCATTCCTTTCCCATTGTTCAAAACACATTCATTCATTTTTTAAGTACAGATTTTTAAATCTACATTTTCTACATTTAATGCAGTTTTTCCAGTTGGCTAAATTACATGGCAAATTCAGAAATGTGTGGATGTGTGGACTGCAAATTATGTTTCAGACCCCATGTAGTCCCAAGAGGTGTGAATTGAATGCAATTTTATCAGATGTGTGCTGAAACAAAAGTCTTCCCCGTGCCTATATGGGGTTGAAGCCCTCTCTAGGTATTCTTTCATGCTGAATGAATATGAGCAGAAAATACTGCTCCAGTCCCACCATCTCCATTGTGCAGAATCTTGGAGAGTCATAGTTTGAACAAGAGGAAAATTTAGATCCGTGAAAGTTCTCCACATAAGTAAGAACCCTCTTAATATCAATAACTCCTCACATCTCTCATCTCTTCCTAGTTCTCTTTTTATGTGAATGAGCAGCATGTGTCTAAAAATTAGGTGAATGGTATTTGTAAATAAGAGTGAAGATTGCGTATGTGAAGCAGAAATTGGTACGTAGGAGATATTACCAGACTGAAAAAATCCACCCCTAAATTGATGTGGTATCTTTTTAAATACATAACTTGAAACATGGACCATCTCAGACTAGCTTGCAGATACATTTTTGGTAATCTGTTGGTGTCTATGATACCAGAATAAAGGACTTTTCTCCTGTTGCAGCCATGTAAAGGCCGCATTGAATGGCAGCTTGTTGAAAACACTACATAGTGGCCAAACATGCTGTTGGCATTTTGACAAAAGGAGGACCTTGAAAGTATTTGAGAAAGTCTGAGACAGCCACTTCAATTATCTGTTAGTGATGGGTCAAGTTGGAATTGATCCAAAAATCCGAAACCAAGCAAATGACCTTTACACTGACATTGGCCATGAGATTCATAAACTCCTACATAAAAATGTTGTTCTGAAGAATGCAGTCATGTTTTCCCTGTACAAAATATTAATTGCATAGATTTTAACTAAAATATAACATTGGAACATTTTGATGACAGCTTGTAAACACCTTTTTAACCCTGAGCAACTCTTGTGTCAACTGCTGGGAGCTGCAAAAGATGGTTCCAGCAGCTGAGGTGATGAAATGCCACCCAGTGAGCATCTCCAACATCCTGAATTGATTGTCTGTTTTATTTTTAAAAATGTTGTAAGTTGCCTTGGGAACTTCAGTTAATCGTCAGGACATAAATATTTAACTATTCCATTGTTATGCAGGTTTTTGTTTTTGTTTTTTTGCAGAGCCCTTGATTCTTTTCACTGCCTCATGTCACACCACAGAGTAAGGCAGTATTCTGACCCATTCAGGGCAGGAGTCACTCAGTTTTACATTTTCTTGACTTCTGGCATTCAAACTGTTCTAACCATATGCCTCAGTTCTGCTTTTAATGCTATTTTTATTATTTTGGAAGTATTTATATCACTCTTCCTCATAACATCATTATTCCTTCATCAAATCATCATCTTCTCTCTGTGACTAGGCTCTGTATGTAACTGTGGGGAATGTTACATTTCCTGTTCATGGGTTTTATAATCTATGTTGATGTTGGCATTAATTAAGCAAACATTAAGATAGGATCATTTGCTCATGGAGATTGTATCATTGTCAAATTTTTGAAAGTATTTCTGTTAACATAAAGTTTCAAAACAATCCCCTTGCAAACTCAGATTCTCAGGGGCCTAACAGAACCTTTCTGTCCATTAAAAGGTAGTAAAATAAATCGATAAGTGTCTTATTACATAATTTGATGTAAAAGTTTAGTAAATCTGTAATTGCTCACAAAGAAGCTCAGCAGTGCCAAGGTCTTGCCAGAGCATAAAGATACTGAAAATGTATGAGAAAAGATGTCTGCCAAAGAAATAAGTTAAATGAAGTCAGAAATAAGTTAAATGAAGTAAGAATAAGAGCTAAGCTGAATCCATTAAGTTAGTTTTAAGAAACAAGTTACATGAAAAAGTAATGTTTTCATGAGGGAAACCTAGGTGACTTTGGACTGAAAGAAAAGGGAGAAGGCTTGAATAGCATAGTAGGGAAGGAAATGTGGGGAACTGTGTCAGTGTTTGTTGGATTGTTATTAAGGGCAAGGCTCATCAGGTCCTGTTTTGCCAACAGCATTAATATTCCACTTGAGTACCAGGATTTCTCAGTCTTTGGCCATTTCCCTCACAACATATCCTAGCCATGTTCAGAGGCCTAGAAAACATAGCTTGCCCTTCCTTTCTACTTAATTGTCCCCTTGACTGTAATTAAAGTTGAATTGACTAATGGAGCAGTCACCAGCAACATGTTCCCATAATTTTCTCTGTTGTCAAGGGTTTCTATTATCATCAGACTCTCCCTGGGTTACTTGTTAGGTTAGAACAACTTAAGGGCGGTGTTGCTCACACACAGCTATGGGAATACTGTTCTCTGACATGATCCTAGGTGTGTGGAAGATAGCTCTGTGTGTGTATTCTTTCCCCCTACAAAATTGTCTCGCTTTCATTGGTGCAGTTCCCAGAAAGACCAAGTATTTACCTTCTGAGTTCTATTGATTGCTTAAAGTAGCAAAAAACAATGTTGTTCTTGTTTCATTTTGTCCTGTCAAGTGTTGTCAAGTTAAAATGGGAGAGTAATGGAGAGTGCCGCTTCCAAGTGTTTCTGAAATGGGAAGAGAAGCCATCTCATGTCTGGAGGTTGTTAGTGTGGGTTTTGTTTTTTCTTTTAGCTTGTCAAAAATTGATCTGAGGTTAGAAAATATCACAGCTTGCTGGCAACAGAGATGGCTCAATGAAAAGAATAGCATTTTTCTTCTTTTGTGTGTGTGTATGAAGAAGGGAGAACAAAATGAGGTGGAGCATTTGGTCTCCTCAATGTGGGGTGAGAACTGCACAGTAGTTCTCAGACTCTGGTTGGTTTTGGACTTTGCAGATCCGGGAAATGATGTACAACTTCTGGAAGAAGTTGCACTCCTCATAAAGGTGCAGATACATAGCTTTGAGGTGCTTTTAAATCTAGTGTTAAGTGATTGGAGGTGCATTTTATCAGATGGTGACTGTCCTAGAAAAACTGAACCTGACTTTTGTCATTCATGTCTTAGTTACATTATGCAATTGATTAATACAATAATCTTGTCATAAAATTGTCTTAGAAGATGTTTTAGAAACTGTGGCTGGTCCAAAGTACAGCTGCCAGAGTTTTGACTAGGGCCTAATGGTTGGACAATATAACTCTGATCATGCATCACTTTCATTGGTTATTAATTTTTGTGTTTTGTTCAAAATGCTAATGTTAACCTCTAAATCCCTTAGCACTCAAATACTTCAAGAACCTTTTTCTTCCTGACAAATCTGTCCACGTCCTAAGATTGGAAGCCCTTCTCTATAACCTTTATATATGTTAGGTTTCTTTACAAGGAACACACTTTCACACTGAGAAGAATATAGATATTCTCTGATATAGATCAGGGAATTAAAATCTGCTTCTTTAAGACAGTGATTAGTTTGTTGTGTTTAGATGGGACTCCAAGATCTGGGTTCAACTTTCTGCGTTGTAATGAACTTTTTTGGGTAACTTAGAGCCAATTGCTTTTTTTCCCCTCCCTCTAATCTACCTCATGCATTTTTTGTGTATGAAATGGGGTGCTTTATATATCATACTGAACTTCTTTTTTTTAAAGGAAGTGATACACATTTAATAAATAGTTAGGGTCATAATGAAATGGGAAAAAGTAGTTCTATAAATAGGAGTGACAAATAATTCACTTTAAAATATGAATACCTAGTGAGAGCTGTAGGTGTGATGTTATGGATATTATGACTAGAACATGATGTAACAGACCTCCCAATGAGTCATGAGTTGGTAATTCTGTCTAATGGTCTGGGTCACAAACTTAGGTTTTCATACTTCACCATATCTTTATTTCTAGATTTCTATATGAGATAATATGTTTTGACATTAAATGATTCAGATTGCATAAAAGTTGACAAACCAGTTGCTCACATATAACCAGTCTGAACTAGAACAAAACTGTGACAGCTTTTGTCATAAACAGCTTCATGTCTGCCTGACCACCCACTTTCTGCAGCTGCTGTTAATGTAAAACAGACAGACAGACAGACAGACAGACATCATAGATGGTGATCCCAAGTCTCCCACATCTGCTGTGGCCCTGGTTTCCTGAAATTAAATGAACAGCATACATGATACTATGATATATATACATCTTGAGTTTTCAGAACTTTCTCTCTTCCTGCGATTTTTTCAGAAAGTGCTTGTCCTTACGAGTTAGATAAGTCTGAATTTATAAAGTAGTATTGTATATATATGTAAATTAAAACAAAATGTTTTTCCTTGTTCATAAGATTGTTTCCTCAGCCCTTAGAAGGTTCATTTCTTTATTGATTGCTTTTTGTTTGCATTCAGCAAAGAATAATGCAAAATACAAGAGGGTTTGCCAGAGTGTCGTGCTGCAAATAAGCAGGGATAGCTCACTTCTAGATGTTCTTCAGTCTGTCCAAATGAGGGTTGACCAGAAAGCAATAGTACATGGTATTGTTATATGACTTGTCTGTTTTGGTTCCCTAGGCAACAGAATGGGGTTCAGATGAAGACACCAGGAGATCCTGTCAGAGTAAAGGAAAAACTGAGGTATCTTTCCCACCTACCTTCCCCTAGATACAAAGAAGCCATCGTTAAATTTGCTGATTTTATACCACTTGAAACTATTCCTAACAAAACATCTGACATCTGATGTTGGAAATGATGCCACCATGACAAATGGCCTGGTTTGCATGAGAATGAAAGGCTGCTCACTCCCAAAAGAGGTACAGTTTCTTACAATTCAAAGTGCAGAATGCTGTCAGATTAGGAGCAGTGTTGAATCACTGTCCCAATGGTGCTGAAAACAGATATGCTTATAGTGTTGAATGCCAAAATGTTTGGCATTTTGTGTATCTCTTGAGTGAACTATATTGGAGGTGCACTACTCACTACCATTACACCAGCCAGGATGCCCCAACTGTGAGCCTCACCATGCAAGATGGTTGGGACTGATGAAGCAATTCTTTATTTTCATGTGTTTAGTGTGCCTTGCCTTCAGTCTTTCATACCTCTGTAAGAATCAGCCAGAGATGCCTCTTTTGGGAGCTTCTTTCCAGTGTTCCTTAGCTGTGAGTCATTTCAGACTGAAAGCATAGCACAAGAGGCCATGTTGTTATCCCAAGTGACAGCATAACTCCATGTCCCCCAAGCACCAAATTGTTTATTCCTATTCAGACTGTCTGGCTATAAAAGCTTCCATAGTACACTTGTGTCCAGCTTTAGCATCACTAGTGACACTCCTGACTTCTTTTGTCACCTAAGCTTTCCCAGTTAGTTCTGAGTTCAGGAGAACCTTCAGATTGCTCCCTTAATTCTTCATTGGGAGTTTAATATCATCTAAAACCAGATGGAAACCACCATCTAGAGTAGTCAACTTCTGTGCTTTACCTGCAACAGCTCTGTCTTTGTCTGGACTGTGTTAGTTTTTGTGCTTTCATCGACCTGAAAAATGCCTTCAAACACTGATTCAGGAGTTTCACAGCCTCCCTGGCTGAAGTTGTAAAAGAGCTGAGCAGCTCTACATGATGGTGGTGCTTGAAACTTCTGGATCACATTCCCTAGTGCACTGGGAACAAGATGGAAGAACTCACCTTTTAAGAACTCATAGGCCTCTGGCCAAAGGGTGGAGCAGAAGTCCCTAGCACCATCTTCTATTATTGTTCCTCCCAGAAGGACTAAAACCACCATAGCATCATACCTCCTAACCAATTTTAAACCTTTTAGTGAGAAAACAGGATATAAATGTAATAAATTCAGCTGACCAATGCAGATGGATACTGTGATCAATGATATCAAAAGCCACTGAGGTGTTCCTTCTTCGGCAGAAGTCATTCACTATGGTGACTATGGCTTTTCCATACTGAAACCAGACATTAAACCAGACTGAAATAAATCTAAGACCACAGTGACAAAAAAGAAAAACTCTTAGCATGTGCAGTTTTGCATTTTAAACTCACTTTGATCATAGCATCATCATCATCCTCAGTCTCCTACAACACTGCCTGGAATTGAGAAGGTACTATCTGTTCTCAACACTTTGCTCAAGATTGGCAAATTTGACACTGGGCAGTAAGTATCTAAAAGCGTTGTATCTAAACTAGGTTTCTTTCAGGGTGACCTCACCTCTCTTTTCCTCAGGCAATTGGGAACCTCATTGTCTGTCAAGGAAGCAGTAACCAATTTGGAGACTGAACTATCCTTCCCAGCCTGGTTTACTTCACAAGGCAGGTTGGGCAAGGGTTAGGGTTAGGGTCTCAAAGTCTCTGAGAAGTTTATCCATGCAATCATGCTGCACAAGCATCTGGTCCACCCTGAACTCTATTAAAATAATGGCATTTGAAGCAGTATGTGTACAAGCAGCTATGTCTGTCAAACAGCAGACCATAACAGCAGGTTAAGTCATGGTGGACTATATGGGTCCAGACTGTTGTGTCACAGAGCTTACACCTAGAAGGCCATCACCTGGGGCATACTGAGTAGATATAGTGGTGGGAGGAAAATAATATGCCTTGATCAGCATATTACTGTGACACAAAAAGTAAAGATGGATTATAAACTGTGTTTGATTCTATTCATTACAAGCCTTCCGTCCCTTGAACTCTCTTAGTGCTGTCATTTCATCACTTCAGTACCCTAGGAAGCTGACATAGCTCTACAACTGGGTGACAATGTTTTGGGGGGAATCATACTGATGGCTTGAGTCATCTCTTCAGTCAAACCAAAGGTGAGAACTTTGGTAGAACCCACAACTAAAACTGAAGAAAAATCCCCAAGAGCCCTCAGATCTTCATCTTTCTGGATTGACAATTTAATTTGGTCTAACATCCCTGCAAATGTTAGAAGTAGCCTGAGGGTCAAAGCTGGTCATATCGTGATCTACCCCTGCTAGTTGAGTCATTTATGTTCTTTACTGCAGACCTTCATTCTGTAATACTATACAGAAAACCAGATCCTAAATATTCTTTCCCACATATGTTAGGAAAAGAAAGTAGCCCCTGTGGATTTTGCTCCGCTAGCTGAATGGCTGTGGGGGGCAATGCTCATCTCTGTTTCTAAGGCCATGAAGCAGTGCTGTCTGAAGATGTTTCCTTGGTATTGTGGCCAGCATGACATCATGGGGCGCTGTTTCCTCCCCACTGAAGTGGTGCCTGTTTAGCTGCTTGCATTACATGCTTTTGAATTGCTAGGTTGGCAAGAGCTAGGGATAAGGCAGCTGGTGCTCACCCCATCACATGGCTTCAAACTGCCAACCTTTCGATTGGCAGCTGAGCAGCTCAGTGGTTTAACCTGCTGCGCCACTGTATCCCCTTTACATATGTTAGGCCAGTTATTAACTGAAACACCATGGTTGAGGTAGAGGTCATCGAATCCTGAGCTGATCTTGAGAATGTAGCCTCAGAATGAATATTACTGTCTTGTAACGCCACTGGACTCAACACCACACTTAAAACCACCTCCATCAACCTGGCTAAGGAGCCCACCAGGCAGTATGGTGATAGTATACCTATACCAGTTGTGTTTCTAGAATTGCATCAGCAGATATAGACATTTGAAACTTGTTGACTGCTAGCCAGGTTACCTTACTTGGCAGAAAGAAACCCTATGGACAAGGCTACTCTGTCTCTTCATCCCTCTTGTAGCACTTGGTGCTACACCAATACTCCTGTTGGACACATCTGGTAAAGAGCAACCTCCCCCTTCATCCAGCCAGGTCCCTCTGGTGCTAGTTAGGTCAGCATGCTTCTCCATAATTAGTTTAAACATGAGATCGTTCTGGTGTTGATTAGCAGTATTCCTAGATTAGGAGGGGTTCTAGGCAATCCCCCTTCCCATATGTTGCTAAGGATAAAGGAGTACAAGTAGAAAAAGTGCAAATAAGTCTCAGTTGCTTTCATTGCTTCCCATTACCATAGAACCATCTGTGTCACACTAAATTTATAATGGCCCTACACTCCTCATGCCCCAACCACAAAATAAACCACAATTCCAAGGCCTAAACACAGTATCCTAAACCCATCAGCCTGCATCACATTAACCTGGGGCACACCCAACACTGCTATCTCAAACTCATATCTCCTGGACATAAAAAGAGCTCTCCCCATTCTGTTCCAAGGCTGCCTACAAGGGAGTACCAAGCCAGTCCTCCCTGTTCCTGTCTATCCCCTGCTTCTACCAGGGGCTGGTTATATCAAACTTAATGGGGTGTCTAATTCTCATATTCCTTCTATTGTGGCTCCCCAATTGCTGCTGCTGAGCTCCATTTACTGGACCTGGATGATTACAGAATCATAGAATAGTAGAGTTGGAAAGGACCAAGAAGGCCATTAAGTCCAAACCCCTGCTCAGTGCAGGACACCAAGTTAAACCATCCCTCCCAGAAGGCTATGCAGTTACATTTTAAATGACTCCAGTGTGGGAGAGCCCACAACTTCCTTGGGTAATTGGTTTCATTTTTGTACTGCTCTAACAGTCAGGACATTTTTCCTGCTATCCAGCCAGAATCTGGCTTCCTGTTTAATCCTCACTGGTGACTAATACTGGCTTCTTCTACCAGATTCCTCAGCTTAGCTGCTGGCCTGCAATTACATCTGCCTCTGAGTTGACTTCCTTGAAGTGGATCTGTATCCTAGAGTTTACTTTAGGAGCCCTGATGCAGCATTCTACCCAACCTAAGTCTGGCAAATTTACCCTTCATGTGGTCAGCTGGTCTTCCCAGTGCTGGGAAGCATGCATGACATGACAGTGTGATTCTATTTATTCTCTCCCCTTCTTCCCATTTATTTGATTGGTCTTAGTCGTGGTTATGAAAAGAGAGTTGTGTAAACTTCTGTGTGTTTCCCTTAGTTGTACTTGAAGCCTTCGTTTGCTTTCTGACTTGAAAAGCGTTCATTGAACTGTGCTTGAACAAGCTGCCCTGGACAGAGGGCCAGCGCTTAACCCTTTTAGTGGTCCCTTTTCCAAATGGCTGAAGCTTCTTTCTTTGCTCTTTCACTATGGAATACTGTACCTATTCTCTCTGTCTTCCCTACAAATGGTTTCTAAGCACTGGCAATAAAGAGGCCTGCAAACATTAAAAACAAACAGGAGACAGAAAATCATTAGTAAATCCTGTTTGGTATCTTCTGCACGCCAAGAAAAGACAGCTTAGCTAAGACGCTGGGCAAAACTGATTAATGAAATTGTTTGTCTAAAGAAATAAATATAAATATCCGAGAGCATGTTAATAACAGTGTTTTGTAGCCTGCAAGGTGTTCAAAGAAAATTACGACAGACGGCAGCGAATACATTAAAATTTCCTCCCTACACTCCTGAATGAAATTACTTTGGAAAGGCAAAGTGGAACATAGTCTCTCCACCCTTCTCCACCTCAGCTGTTAAAAACTTCCAACTAAGTACTTCAGCTGTTATGCTTTCTTAGGTCTTTGTTGGAAAACTATTGACTGCTGCTACCTGTATGTATGCATGTATTTATTTATTTAAGACATTTGTATGCTGTTCTTTGCAAGAGCCTTAGGACAGCTTGCACGAATAAATTCCAAAATACATAC